TCTTTAATACACTGCAAACATTTCTCTGGCTAACACAACTTATTATTACTACACGTCGGGGCTTTTATTGCATAATCTTGGCATCAGCTGCAAAAGGCAACTGAAGGCTCCCAAAATGTATCTTACACAGAACACCAAAAAATACAGAGAGAAGAGGCAATTTCAGCAAAACATCTGTGATGACATATTCAGCCCATTATTTTGTCAACAGTGCAAGTATTTGATGGCATAATAAAAGGATACAGTTTGCTTAGCAGAAACAGATAAAGAATAACAGCCAAGTTAAATAGGGTGCCATGAAAGGTTTGCTTAACCCACAGGATTCCACTTGGAGAAAAATCAAAATAGAGCCATTTTATCCCTCCTTCCAAGCACTATTTCTGTTCTCTTAGTTGGGGTTTAAAAAAAAAATCACTTTAAGAAAAGGGAGGGAATTTTTTAAATTGATGTTTCATACCAAAAAAAGGAACAAATTTTGTACATTAATTCTGAATTGCAAAGAGGAAAAATCAAGCTCACCTGGAAGAAGAGATAACAGAAGTTAATCATGTGCAAACTGCTTTGAGGCAAAAAGAGCACAATCCCATTCAAAGCTTCTTTTTAAATTAGTCCTGTGCACTAATTTTCTGCTTCATTTTATTGACATAATTGATGCTCTACTTCAACATATCTTGGAGATCCACTGCAGTGAGTGTATTTCCTTCTGATACATACTTTTTCAAACAAGTAGCAAAGAAACTATAATTTATTAGCCAGTAATTTCCACATGAAAGTTGACTTATGTGGTTTTGTGGGGTTTTATGTGCTGTGTTTCCTCTCTGTAGGCAAATACCAAATTCTAAAATCAAGTCAGTATTGTAGTGTCTACATCACAGTATTACATGGGTAAGCTTGGCATTCCAGTGGTATTTGAGAGTGTCCAGAAGAAACTATTTCAGAGAGACATTTAGCACAGGTGGCCAAAAGTTTTGACAATAAAGTCACAGTTCAGTTTTCCTGCAGGTCGACCATCCTGAGATTGTGCCTCTTCCAGTGCAAAATACACAGAAAAAACAGCATTAGATAATCCTTGTTTCCTGGCACAATTTGCCATGAATTTCTCAGTTGGAAGCCCTGCATAACACCAATGAAATCACTGAGCAGACAGACACCTGATTTATACAGTGCATAGAAGTGCAGAACAGCTGGCACAGACATTTTTGTCTTTTCTCCTTTCCCTCTGTTGCTTATTTAAGAATATAGGAGAAATCATTAGAGGTGATTCATCACATTCCTTTAGATCCAGGTTTAAAGGCAGTCTGACAAAATGACACTAGAAACTCCCCCTTATGAATGCTGTATATGCCTTTTCTGCAAGGCTGCTTCAAAGCAACACAGTTCTTTACAAAAAAAAAAAAAAAAAAAAAAAAAAAAAAAAAAAAAAAAGGGGGCCCTGAAATG